GCCCTCCTCATACAGACACACTGTGCCCTTTTTTGGGTGACATATAATGGATGCTTCCTATGTGCTTAGTTAAGGGCAGTATATTCATTACATCCTTTAAATGGCTTTTTTTTTTCTCAATTCATCTTTGAGAGAGCGCAAGAAAGACGGCAAAGAGAGAGGAACAGAGGATCCGAAGGGGCTCTGCGCCGACAGCAGCAAGCCTGATGTGGGGCTTGAACTCACAAGCCACGAAATCATGACCTGAGCCAAAGCGGTATGCTTGACTGAGCCATCCACATGCCCCCATTACCTCCTTTAATTCTCAGACCAACTCAGAGAGGTATTATTATACCTATGTCCCAAATGAAGAGTCAGATTCATGAGCTAAATAATTTGCAGTTTTGCACAGCTGGCCGGACTCCAGAATTCAAGGTCTTGACCACTACACTATCCTGTCTCTGCCATTTCAGCATTAATGAAGTTGTCAGAAAACACCAATTTGGACACCAAGTAAATAGACACCTGTGTATTATGCTGATATCAAGGGGAAAAAATACATTCTTAACTTTGTATGTGATCATAGCAGTGCATCACATGTCTTATAAATGGTGGAGACATGATTTTACCATATTTTCTGCCTAACAGATAGCATGTGCTATGGACTCAATTGTGGCCCCCCGCCCCCCGCCAAGTTCTTATGTTGAAGCTTTAACCCCCAGTGTTACTGTATCTGAAGATGAGGCCTGGGGCGCCTGGGTGACTCAGTCGGTTGAGCGTCCAACTTCGGCTCAAGTCATGATCTCGCGGTTTGTGGGTTTGAGCCCCGTGTCGGGCTCTGTGCTCACAGCTCGGAGCCTGCAGCCTGCTCCAGATTCTGTGTCTCCCTCTCTCTCTACCCCTCCCCTGCTTGCACTCTGTGTCTCTCCCTCTCAAAACTAAGTACATATTTAAAAAAAAATTTTTTTTAAAGATGAGGCCTTTGGGAGCTAATTAGGTTTAGACTACATCTCAAGCAGCCCTTCTGATGGGATGAATGCCCTTACATCAAGAGAAAGAGATCCCAGAGCTCTCTGCCATGTGCCGACAGCCAAGAAGGCAGCCGTCTGCAAGTCAGGAAGAGAGCCTTTACCGGGAGCCAAATCAGCTGGCGCCTTGGTTTTTGGGCTTCCCGGCCTGCAGAACTGTGAGACATAAACGTCTGTTGTTTAAACCACCCGGTCTGGTATTCTGTGATAGCCGCCGAAGCAGACTGACAGATTTTGGTCCCGAGAAGTGGAATGTTTCTGTAACATGCCTAAAAAGGTTAGAAGTGGCTGTGAAACTGCATCACGGGTGTTGGTGGAAGAGTTTTGAGGTGCATGCTAGCCCAGATACACGGATGTTAAGCTTGATTCTAGTGAGGTCTCACACAGAAATGAGGACCTTGTTATCAGAAAGTGGAGGAAAGACACTCCATAAAATGCCTGAGAACTTGGCTGAACTATGTTCTGGTGTTTTGGGGAAGGTAGAATTCGCAAGTGATGAAATTATATATTTAGCTGGGACGTGTCTAAACAAACTATTGTAGGAGCAGCTTGGTTCTTCCCAAACGTTTGTAATAAAGTAGGAAAGGAAAGAGACAGATTGAAGAAGGATTCGTTAAGGAACCAGAGCTTGAAGATTTGGCAAATTCTCAGCCTTTTCATATCGTAAAAAATGGGAAAGATCCTTTTGAAGAGAACAAATATGGCTGGGCAACCATTTGATAAAGAGAGCATGTGTGTAATTCATGGACTTAATCAGCCATTTCCACAGAAGCCAGAGTCACACTGGGGACTGTACTGGCAAAGACACTGCCGGTTTGAACTAAAGGGGACAGAAACAAGACAAAATGAAGGCTGTCAGACCTCTTAGGTCCCACAGGACCAGACGATAGAGCCATTTGGCTGACACATGGCCGTTCTGCAGGAGAAGAGAAGAAGGACTAAAAGGCAGTTCAGAGATCATCGGGGCCACCCTCGGTTTCAGGAACACACCGTGCCTTTTGCGGGAGAACCTCAGAGGCTGGGCCACCGCCCCAGCGGGTCTGGAAGACAGAGCATTGAACCAAAGATGATTATCCTTGAGGCTTAAAGTCTAATGAAATTTGCCTTGCCAGGTTTAGGCTTGCTTGGGACCATCACCCCTTGTTTTCTGTTTCTCCCTTTTGGAATGAAGATGTCTCTCCTCTGCCTGTCTCACCATTGTATTTGGAAGCATGTCACTTGTCTGGATTCACAGGGTCACAGATGGAGAGGAATTTTGCCCCAGGATGAGGTGTACCTCCCTCTTACCTGTATCTGATTTAGGTGATATGTAGGTGAGATTTTGGACTTTAGATTTTAGCATTGATGCAGGAATGAGCTAAGACTTTTGGGGCTGTTAGGATAGAATAAACACGTTTTGCATGTGAGAAGGACATGAATTGGGGGTGTGGGTACCAGGGGCAGAATGCTTTGGACTGAATTGTGTCCTTTCAGAATTGATTTGACAGAAGTCCTAACCCCACCCATGACCTCATCTAACCCTAATTACTTCTCAAAGGCCCCATCTCGAAATACCATTACATTGTGGTATTTCAATATATTAATTTTGGAGGAACACAGTCCAGTCCCTTGCAAATGCTATTTCTATGCCTCGGAGTACATGGTTTGAATTTAATTACCTTATCTTACCAACCCAACCCTCCTGCCACTCCCTAAATCAGAGCTAGAGTCGTTTATTAGGATGGCATGTTGCTGGGGGGCCTGGGTGGCTCAGTCAGTAGAGCATCTGACTTTGGTTCAGGTCACGATCTCATGGTTCGTGGGTTCGAGCCCCGCATTGGGCTCTGTGCTGACAGCTCGGAGCCTGGAACCTGCTTCAGATTCTGTGTCCCCCTCTCTCCCCGCCCCACCCCTGCTTGTGCTCGGTCTCTGTCTTTCAAAAATGAAGAAACATTTAAAAAAACTTTTTTTTAAAGAATGGCACGTTGCCCAGTGTCAGTCCCTCATCCTGTGGCCGCCAACCCGTCTTTGAAGACCGTCTGGCTCTATACTGCTCTAGTTCTTTGTTCTTGCAGTGCTCACAACTCTTCTGTCACTTTCTGTGGTCTCTTGTCCCTTTAATCCCCCACAGGATTTTTTCCCCTGAAACAAAAGGAGCTTTTCCTAGAAGTGTAGTTTTCGAAATTACTGAAGCATACACAGTTCCTGTCTCCAGACGCCCACTGCGCGTCCACACAAGGCCAGCTCGAGCCCAGAACAAGTGGCAGGTGCTCGCAGGACTCCAGGTGGGCAACCAGAAGGAAAAGCGCAGATCATCACCAGCCTCACTCATCTCAAGCTCGAGCTGCTTCCGGCGTAAATACCGAACAAGCGTATCAGGGAGAGGTCACAGCACAGGCCCCCACACCTCGGTGTGCTATTCTAGGGAGAACTTTGAACAAAGAAGACCACCACCTCTTTATATCTGAATGTGTGTGTGGATATGAGTGCATGAGAGAGAAATGGAAAGAAACTGAGGCAATAATAAATATTCATTTTAGTCTTTGTGTCTTTCTGTAATTGAGAAGAACCTCTAGTAATGGAAAATCCATTCCTAAAGGACACATTTAGGAAGTAAGTTTGGGGTGGGGAAGGTATGCGGGGAAAAACTCGAGCTACAAGACGAAAATAGACAAAACATCATGGTCACAAATTTCTCTAATTCCAAACTTGTCATAACTTGATTAGGGCCTGGTTTGAAACTTACCTTGACTTGGAAAAGCTGGTTTTGGGTCATAAACACCGTAAATGAGATCACAAGGGAGAAATTGCTTATTGGAGAGAAGAAATTTCAAGACATCCTCAGGACTTTACAAACAGCCATTATTTAACATTAATTAAAGTTTTTGTAATACAAATTATAAAGCATTGAGCACAATATAAATCCAAAGTCACACAAAGCAGTTCCAATGCTTTTATAGGCGATTCTGATATGTGGATTAAAACTGATGTAAGAATCCCCTACTACACGAAAAATGATTTCATTTTCAGACATTTTCTAATTTACATACTCTAGGGCTGAAATGGTGAAATTTTGTTACAGACTTTTAGTGATTAATAAAAATGAACAAAGAGCAAACTAAGAATTTAATAAGATCCCTAATGTGTCCTTTAAATATACCAAAATATATGCCCTATTTGACTACTTAGAATCCCTGCATTGTAATACTTGTTTTGGAAATAATTGAGAATAATAAGTTTATATTCTATAAAAAATTTTTCAGGATCTGAAGTGAAAAAAATTGAAGCCACAAATGTTCCTTGTACACAGCTTTCAATGTCATTTTTTCATCGGTTATATGATGAAGATATTGTACGCGATGATGGACATATCATTAAGTGTTTAGATTCTTTTTGTGATCCCTTTCCTATATCTGATGAATTACGAAAAGTAAGTATAGATTTTTAAAATTTCATAATAGAATTTTATTTCAGGAAATGCTTAATGTCAAAAACTTTTACCTATGTAAAATACCTAAAATACCTTTTATCAATTATTAATGATCAGTAATATCAGTTACATTGGTAGATTTTTTCTTGGATGGGACTTTTACTATCAACTGAACTATCTGTATTTCAGTAGTTCTCAACCAGATGCTACTAACAGTCATGCATAGAGGCCAGAGATGTTGCTAAACATCATGCTGTGGGCAGGACAGCCCCCCACAACAGAGTTCTCTGCCCCAAAATTTCACTAGTGCTAAGGCCGAGAAGCCCTGACCTGCTTAACTCATGGCTATTTTTCTTCGATATGGGGCTCTTAACATATCAAATGACTATTTAAAAATATCCCTGTTGTAAAAGAATCGTTCTGTCTCACAGCTGAGATCAAAAAAGCCATTTTAGGGGCGCCTAGGTGGCTCAGTTAAGCGTCCAACTCTTGGTTTCGACTCAGGTCATGAGCTTGTGGTTTGTGGGTTCGAGCCCCACATCGAGCTCCACACTGACTGTCTGGAACCTACTTGGGATTCTCTCTCTCCCACCTGCCCCCATCCCTCCCTTTCTCTCTCTCTCTCTCTCTCTCTCTCTCTCTCTCTCTCTCTCTCTCTCAAAATAAATAAACTTTTTAAAAAATCATTCAATTAACTAATTTTTTTTTTAGCAAGAGGTATATTGAATCAGAAGACATAGATTATTTAGTTAATTCCTGAGTTATTATTTATAAGATAGTAACTAAGCATATCATTCAATATCTTGAGCCCCAAGATCTTATCTGTACAACATAGAGATTAAAATTCCCATTCTATCTTGTTGAAACTGTTGAGATATGAGTTGAGAGAGCATTTAAATATACTTTTTAAAAAGTGTGACATGTTAAAATGAAATGCATTATTATCATCATTATTTTATTTATAGAGAGAGCAAGAGCAACTGGGAGAGAGGCAGAGGGAGAGAGAGAGCATCTCAAGCAGGCTCCATGTTCAGCACAGAACCCAACACAGGGCCCCATCTCATGACCTAATCCAAAATCAAGATCATGACCTGAGCCGAAATCAAGAATCGGACACTCAATTGACTGAGCCACCCAGGCGCCCCTTATTATCATTAAATTATGGAGATAAACTATTTACCAAATGGACAAAAATTAGGGCTTTCAGGGGCGCCTGGGTGGCTCAGTCGGTTAAGCTGCTGACTTCAGCTCAGGTCTTGATCTCGTGGTCCGGGAGTTCGAGCCCCGCGCCAGTGTCTGTGCTGACAGCTCAGATTCTGTGTCTCCCTGTCTCTCTGCCCCTCCCCTGCTTGCACTCTGTCTTTCTCTCTCTCAAAAATAAATAAACATTAAAAAAAAATTAGGGCCTTCAGGGGCTCCTGGCTGGCTCAGTCGATGGAGCAGGCAACTCTTGATCTCAGGATTATGAGTTCAAGCCCCACATTGGGTGTAGAGATTATTAAAAAAAAAAAACACAAAGCTTTGGTATCAAATAGACATAGATTCAAATACAGGCTCAGCCACTTAATAACTGTGGTACTTAGCCTCATTTTTTTCATCTATAAAATAAGAATGATGCAAGAATCACGTGAGGGGCCCCGTGTTGCTCAGTCGGTTAAGGTCATGATCTCACAGTTCATGGATTCGAGCTCTGTGCTGACAGCTCGGAGCCTGCTTGAGATTCTCTGTCTCCATCTGTCTGCCCCTCTCCCACTCGACTTTGTCTCTCTCTCTCAAAAAAAAAAAAAAAAAAAATTATGTGAGATAATGCACTTAAAGTGTTTAGCCCAATGCCTAGTATTTAGTAAGCTTTCAGTAATAGTAATGACTAGCCACTAATTACTATTATTCTACATTTAGGAGATGTCGCTATGTGTAAGTTGAATAAGGAGATGTATAAGTTGAATTTATTGTAAATCCAGATGGGAATGACCTAGGGAAGCCCCTGACACACCATTCTGGACATAGACATCTTGTCTGTAGGAGACCGGGGAGGCATCCAGCCAGTCTCTGCGTTCTTCTACACCAACAGAACACCTCAAAGAACCCTTAGTTGAAGAAGACAATCAAATTACTCATTGAGGATGTCCAAACACAACTGAGGAGACTATATATAGTTGCTCTGTAGTTAGGTGGTATGTATAACACAAGATAAGCACCGTACCTTGGGGATCTGATAATTTCTACTCTTCCTTACCAAAGACTGGAAATTAACCTCTACAAAGTGTCTAGTCTAGTCTGGGTCTTCTTCCTTTTGGGGCACTATGTCAGCTCTTCTTATCTGTCCCCGATCTCTGCTGGCACATGTACCTCTCTATCACAAGGCCCTGTCCCCTAATTTCAGAGAGCTCACCCTCACTTATACTGAGAGCATTGGCAACGGACTTTTCGAGAGACGGATGCGCCTTCTCTGCTCTGCTGCTTGTCGTCTGGTTTTCTTTTTTTAATTTTTTTTTAGAATTTACTCATTTTTGAGAGAGAGGGAGAGGGAGCATGAGTGGCAGAGGGGCAGAGAGAGTGGGAGACGCAGAATCTGAAGCAGGTTCCAGGCTCTGAGCTGTGTGCTGACAGCTCAGAGCCCGACGCGGGGCTCAAACTCACGGACCGTGAGATCATGACCTGAGCTGAAGTCGGACACTCGACCGCCTGAGCCCCCCCAGGCTCCCCTCTGCTGCTGGTCTTCTTTACTTCCGTGCGTAGCCCTTGAATTCAGGAAGTACCCACACTGTTTTTCTGTCGCCCTGTGGCGACAAGCAAGGTGTTAACTTGGTTGCTTTCTGGCTGAAAAAATAAATCAATAAATAACCTCCAGCCTTAGCCTGAACTGAAAAGGGCCCTCCGCCATGCAGCAGGACCGAGCCCGTCACACCGCCTCACTGAGGCCTACCGATAACCACCTTCCGCAGGCGGCTCACAAGTCTGGCTCCTTAACCACATTGCACACCTCCTCCCTGAGGGCCCCGTGTGGAAGCACACGGGGAGATCAGCCGCAGGTGGGTCCCGCTTCCACATTTATTCCCCAAATATTTTCATTTCTGTCATTTTTACACTGCGCAGCCTAATCAGTTCAGTAACCAGAGTGCTCATGCGAGGAATGCGTTCATTCGTTGTTCCTGAGAGCTTTAGTCGCTCTTGTGTTAAGCCAGATCTTTAGGTAGGTACAAACTCAGGCTTCAATATCACATCATTTCCTCAGAGAGAGAGAGAGAGAGAGAGAAGGAGAGAGGCAGGCAGGGAGGGGAGATGGGCCAAGACGTATGTGTGGCACACCCAGGGAGTAATAAACCGTAAACCACTTCCCCTCACCTTTTACTGCGTGTGACTTTGGCTTTCATAAACTCATCGTAAGTAACCTGCACACTGGCAACACCACAGAGTTTATTTTAAGTGCCTCTTTTATGCTGACCTTGTGATGAATATTCATTTGAGATTGGGGTAAATCTGAAGCTTGATCAGGTTTCCTAATTTAAGTGCACTTCTTGCTACTAGACAGTGATTTTGTAGAACTCCTATTTCCCTCCCTTACCTGTTTGGTAGTGTTAGTGTTATGTACAATTTTCACAGCATTCCGACTCCTTGTTGTATGTATTTTCTTTCCCACTTTGTTTCTTGGTTACAGGTTTTTGCCTTTTACGTTTCGTACCGTGTCCGTATTTTACTGTTAGCTACTTCACATTCTTTTTACAAGCAGGTGGAGTATAAACAACTCAATAAAAGAAATGTGTGTTATGGTTTACATTCGTCACCTTGTTCGTATCTACCGCAATCGAGTTAATCAGTTGTGTGGAATGGCCAATGGTATAAGAAACCCTCCCACGTCCGACCCTGTCGTGCTGTTTTCTGAAAGAGGTGGTGAAGTCTCCAGAGAGCAAGAGTCGGTATAGATGGGTGATGTGTAGGATGATATTATTAGGGGACAGCAGGAAAAGAGGTGGTTATGATGGTCCACTCACCTGAATAGTTCAAAATGGAGTAATGGGGGTGGGCCGGGGCAGGGGTGGTAAGGAAAGTGGTCACCCAGAAGTGCAGGGGTAGGGCTTAGAGAATGAGGGCCAGCTTCCAGACTGAAGCAAAGGCTACAGACCTTCCGGGATGGAGAAGTTTCTCCATTTATTTATGGTCCCTTGTTTCCAAATAAGATTTAAGGTGACTCAGCACTAAAATTGCAGTAGTGCTAAAACCATTACTAAAGATACAAATTCGAACCAAGGTATAAAGGGGAAGAGGAGAAGATTAGATTTACTCCTTTAACTGAGCATCAGTGCCTAATGGTGACATGGAGGGAAAATGCGTGCAGGTCTCACCGATTTTACTCTTTCTGGTTGTTCAGGATTGGTTGGTAACAGAGGCCTAGGATTATTTGCAAGTTCATAAATGGAAACTTTCGAAAACAAAAATTAGAGCCTTAAATCATGTTAGATTAAGATGAATTTTATCATTTTCCATAGGTTTTGCTAGTGGAAGACTCAGAAAAATATGAAATATTTAGCCAAGCCGATAGAGAAGAGTTCCTGTTTTGTCTTTTCAAACATCTTTGCCTTGGCGGAGCCCTTTGTCAGTATGAAGATGTGCTTAATCCATATCTGGAAACAACAAAGCTTATCTATAAAGATCTAGTGAGGTAATGTCGCTAGATTACAGTAGGTAAATCTCTGGTTAACGGAGTGCATTGTTTAACTGTGCTGGGCTCGCCTAGCGTCTCTTGGGTCCCGTTGACGCCAATCGTCAAAGCGTGTGAGAACGGCACCGCTTCGAACCCCTTTTCCGGCCTCTCCCTTCTCCTCCAGGTTGGGACATGGTCACATCTCCCTGACTCTCTTTAGCACCCAGTTCCCGGTTCTCATCTGACTGTGCTTCCTTCCCCATCCAACGGATTACTCGCTCCATGCCTGCTTAGCGGCTGACTTACCCCAGATCTTCTATCACATTCTCCCCAGGTTCCTGTCGTGCTTACCCCAGGTCTCCTGTCACACTTACCCCAGGTTTTCTGTCACACTTATCCCAGGCATCCTGTCACATTTACCTCAGATCTCCTGTCACACTTACCTTGAGTCCCCTGTCACCTCACCCCAGGTCTGCTGTCACACTTACCCCAAGCCTCCTATCACATCAGTTTCCTATCACACTTAACCCAGGCCTCCTGTCACACTTCTCCCAGGCGTCCTCTCACGTTTACCCCAGATCTCCTGTCACACTTACCCCAGGTTCCTGTCACAGATACCTCGGTCTCCTGTCCACTCACCCAGGTCTCATGTCACATTTAGCACAGGTCTCATTTCACATTTACCACCAGTCTCATGTCACCTTTACCCCAGGTCTCCTGTCACAATTACCCCAGGTCTCCTTTCACATTTACCTCAGATTTCCTGTCATATTTACCCCAGGTGTCCTCTCAAATTTATTTCAGGTCTCCTGTCACCACATCCCAGGTGTACTACCCTTTTACCTCAGGGCTCCTTCACACTTACCCAAGGTTCCTCTCATACTTACCGCAGGTCTCCTGTCACATTCACCCCAGGTCTGATGTCACTTTTACCTCAGGTCTCCTGTCATATTACCCCATGTCTCCTGTCACACTTATCGCAGATCTCCTGTCACATTCACCACAGCCTTGATGTCACTTTTACCTCAGGTCTCCTATCACACCTACCCAGGGCTCCTGTCCCATTTACCACAGGAATCCTGTCACACTTACCCCAGATGTCCTGTGCATTTACCACAGGTCTCTTGTCGTATTTACCCCAGGTCTCCTGTCACATTCACCCCAGGTCTGATGTCGCTTTTACCTCAGGTCTCCTACCACACTTACCCCAGGTTCCTGTCACACTTACCCTAGGTCTCCTTTCA